CGCTCTCACTCCTCGCGCGCTCTCACTCCTCGCGCGCTCTCACTCCTCGCGCGCTCTCACTCCTCGCGCGCTCTCACTCTTGCACCTTTGCACCCCCCTGCATTATCTGCATCCTTATCCTGTGCCATCTAATCTCCCCTTTTCATCCTGGTATCCCTATTTTCGGTTTCTCTAACTACCTTTCTCTTTGTCTCTCCCCCCCCCCTTTCCTGTTCCTTCTGGGTCTCAGTTCCTTGGTGGTGTTTCTCCCCCTCTGTGATTACCCCATGCTGTGAAGTAGGGCAGGTTAAAGCCACAAGCAGGGCGCCCCCAGTGATGTGTGTAGGGATTGCACTGGAGCAGTCAGCCGTGCCACGGGCAGCCTGAGTGTCCGGTTCAGAGCCTTTGGTTATTTTAGTTCCTAAAGCAGTGAAGTTAGTGACTCAACCCAACCTGAAGGAGCTCATTCAGACGAGCCTCTGACCCTGATACACCATTATTCACTTCCCCTGCTAAGGAAAATGGCAGTGTGTCAACACGCAGTGCGTGGGCAGGTTACCCTTGGTATGCAGCAGCTCTGCCAGGCTCTCTGCTGAGCTCAGGAGGTCTGTGTGGTGGAGCTGCACTCCCTGCCCTCCCCCCCACCTCATATTTTTGCCTTCCTTCCATGTCAGTGAATCCTGTCCAGCATTCCGTCTTTGTGCCGTCTTTTTGATTTCTTTATTTGATAAAGAACCTGTGTGCCCGTGTTCATGGTCCCTCGGCCCCCCTCTCCCCGCCGCCTTGTCCCCCCCACCCCGTGTCTGTGTCCCAATTCAGCTTCTCCATAAACTCCAGATTAGCCAGCTCCTTAGGCAACCTGTATGCCGTGGATGACGACGCGAAAGCCCCCGGCCGGCCGGCCGCCCCTCCGCCCCCGCCTCGGACGGGTCCTGGCTATGCCAATGGCAGCCCGCTCGTGTCTCCTGCCCGAAATCAACTCTTTGAAGTCAACAACAACAATCAGTATAACTGTACCACCTCCCCCGGCTCCCTGGCCTCCGTGGGCCTGGGCAGAAGCAGCAAAGGGCCAGCCTTCAACCGCAACCACGGTAATGTGGCAGGACGCCCGCCCAGGCTCGGGCCAGACGAGCTAGGCCTCTACAGATCAGCACCGCTGTCTGGGCTCGGCGCCCCCTCGGCCCGATATCTCAGCCGCTCCATCCCCGTAAGTGTGCACCCATAACCAGCGGCAGCATTCTCCTCTTCCCTTCCGCTAACTCCTCGCTGTCCTCCATGTTAGTGTGTCACTTTGCACTCGGGCTGGTCACTGCTTGTCCTTTCAGCTGCCTTAGCTGCGTAGCCTCCTGCCTCCTTAGAGGCGAGTTCAACTATAAATCTCTGACTGCATGAATGTGGCGTCTGAGTCTTTGGCAGCAAGCAGTCACCCGCCCTTAAGTGTCTCTAACATCCTAACAAATGGCTTTGGGATGTTTTTTCCTGTGCTGTGCTGCTTAAATGCTTTTTTTAATGGTGTGTTTGGATGCTGTTAAAATTTTACAGGACAGGGACACCAGTCTTCTAAATCACATGCACTTTTAAAAAGGACAAGGAACACTGGTGTGGAATTCCACAAAAAGCCCCGCAAGTATGGAATTGTGCTCTTTTGCGGATCGGCCCACTAATCGCAGGGTTTGCCTCTGGCTGCCCTTTGGAAATTCCACCCCCTGTCCTGTTCACTGTGATCTCACTTTTTGACTTCCTTCCTGTTCATATACACTTAATGAAAACAGAGCTCTGCATGTTGGCTTCATCACTAACTGTTACTAAAGTTCCTTCTAACACTGATGCTATCAGCCATTTTTGAGTTCACATCCCTACTACCAGTTTTCCTTCACTTTTTTACCGAGGCGCTGTATGACTACGTTGCCAACAAACGACAAGTGTGCCAACAAACATATCCCACGCTGACTGAGCCCTAATATGGGGGATGAGCGCTTTAGCCACTCGCATTGTCATCAGGAAATGCCACCCTTTATTTCCCTGCTGATACCTGTACAGTAAGCCTGGATATTTTAAATGGTAAACAGCTGGGCCTTTTTGAGGGCTCCTCCGTCAAGCACCACACCAGCCCTGACCATGTCCGGGGAAGCCATCGGCACATCTCCCCTCGATGGTGCGATTCCATGTGTCAGTCCGTTACCGTTTGTTCGTAGCTCCAGTGTATCCGTGTTAATTACTGGAAGAAAGTGTGTATTCCTGTAAGTACTTCAAACTGCAGGAAAGTCCAAAACCGGCAAGAGATACAAATCTTTGGAAGCAATTTGCTGCTGTCCATTGAGACGTCTGGAAACAGAGATAAAATGATATTACTTCCTAGAATTATGGGACCTCCGAAAGCCAATCTCTGCCAGGAGTTTAGTTTTACTTTTTGTGCTGCATTAATAGCCTCACAGCTCCGCTCTGTACATAATGACATGCTTGTCATGAAAGGCTGAGCCCACTGTGAGATGTGATGTCATTTCATATTGCTTTTGAACTACTGTCATGAAATGAAAAATGTGCTGCCTGGGGTCTAGGTCGTCCCTGCCCTGAGTCCCGTCTTTAATTTCAGGAAGCTGCATTTCAGTGACGTGCCCCCCCCCCTCCCGTAGCTGCCTGCGTTGTACATTGACGCTGTGGGTCGCTTCCCATATCTGCCTCTCTTGTGTTCGTCCTCGGGTCCATGTCCTTAACCCTTTCCTTGTTTCCTCTATTCCCAGGTAAGCTATCACTGTCCCTGTGCACAGCTCATTGTGTTTTAGTAATAACATCTCCTGCCTTATCTCCCTCCCTGCAGTCCCTTCAGTCTGAATATGTTCAGTACTAAGGCGGCGACGTTGCACTGAGGAGCAGGGAGCCAGCCCCCCACCCTGCCACGCCGGGCCACCAAGCAGCCCCCTTTCCTCCCTCTCGCCCCTGCTGTCCCAAACAGGATAAAGGGAAACTGGCCTGTGCACCCAGCACTTCTCTGGGTCAGACTCGTCGTTTTTGACCTGCTGTATGTAGTTTGCCCATGTCACAGGGACCTGGCAGTCCGGAGAGGACTGGATGAGTCCACTCCTTCATGGAACAAAGAGTTCTTCCCTTTGACCTCTGGACTTTAACAGGATAATTATTTGGGACTTGAAGTCTCCACTTAATTAGCTCTGAACATGTCCTGTTCTACCTGCTTAAGCAGGTAGTTGTGTGCATGTGTGTGCGTGCACGTACAGGTACCCGCTCTCCAAGCTAGCACTCTTGGTTATGAGAGTAACAGCAGCCCTCGTACTGCTGACGTATCTATGAACTTTTGATAGGGGATCTTTTTTTATGATTTTTTTTGTCTACAGATTTTAAGATTGGATAACACGAACATGTGTTCATATATATAATGAATTGTATCATGGTTTCATGAAATCTTCTGGTTTTTAAACTTGTTCTAGGTGTACTTTATATAGACAATTTTATTGATGTTTCAAAGGGCTTACTTTCCATGGGAGGGGGGCTTTATAATTACTGAAGTATTTACTGTGCCTGTGGAAGCCAGTTTTAATACACTAATATTTCTCGTTTCACTTGGGGGGAGGGAGGGGGACAGTGACTGATTGCAGAACAAAGGCTGACCGGTTGTCTCAGACAGTTTCATTTCACCAAGTTTCGTTTTCAACCTAGTTGGGGAAATGATTTGCCCATTCAGCCCTGGACGCTGTGAGAGGTGTAGCTTAATACCTTTGTACTGCAGTAACTGTGAGTCTCTGTTTAGTCTACTGTTAAAGATGATTCACTCCAGTCTATTTAAATTTGTGAAGAGTTCTATGTAACATCTTCGATGGGGAAAGGAAATACTTATCTACTTGCAGTTGTCTTTAAATGATAGCCTTTGGTGAGAGGCTTCACTGAAAAGACAGTCTGTCTTGTTCAGGATGTTGGATGGTATAATTTCCTGCTTCTGAAAATCTCTCCTCTGGCAGTTTTCCCTCTGTCCACCCAAATTGAGATGCTATAAATTTAAAATTCTATTTTGTGTGGTGTTTTCTCCCATATTTGTCTTTAACAACATTCGATAGTGTTTCTGAACGGTAATGACATGCTTTCTAGGATAGTGTATTTGTCTTCTGCATAATTTTAAAACAGAGCGAACAACGAATTTAAAAAACAAATTACTTTGGTAACGAAGTATAAATGTAGAGGACAAGCACTTCGTGCCCTGAGTATGAATATAAAATCTAAATGGCACCTTTTAGTTTTATGGATTAAACGCATCAGATGGCCACACGGGGATCTGTGTTTACATCACAATAAAACCCCTTATATCGGTGCATCAAAGGACAAGTCATACCAAGTGCTGGGGAAGCGAGATGTCCGAAGAGCTTTCTGGAAAGACAAAGAAAGGGCTGCTGACTTTTTCATTTTCCCTTGATTTTTAAACATTTTTCTCTCCAGACTACAGGCTCACATGCACTCCTATCGACATGGTTCTTGTAAATCTCATTTGATTGTGCTGTTCTTATTGTATCTTTGTGATGCTTCCATATTGTACAGTGACAGATACTGTAGGGCAGCATTGCAGTCTTTGATGTGTGATACTGTGTTATATTCTGTTATGGCAGAATATGCTGTTATGGCTCTGCTCTCCGTCTTGAAATGGCCGGATCAAACGGTTTACTTAGCCGAGTGTTAAATGCCTTCCCAGCCTCTCTCCCCATGTACTTTGACTGTTTGTCTTGTTTAAGATCTGACTTGTGGATCCCTTCATTTGCACTGAATCCCTCAGTGTTTCACTGTTCATTCCACGCAGGCTAGTGCTTTTCTTTCATGAACTTTGGGAGAATCTTATTGCTGCAGTTCTTCTACCTCCTTACAGAAAGCACCTGTAAAATATAATATTGCATATATTTTTTCACGCAGCGTGTAGAGAGAAGATATTCTAGAGCAGTATTCCTTTCTACTTATGCAAAATATACTGTAAACATAGATGTTTGTATTTACTGTATGGAAAACTAATACAATATATACAGAGTGCAAATGAAATGTAAAAATAAATTACATTGTTTACATTGAATTCAGTGTCATTGTGTAATGAGTCTCGTACCCATTTGGTTAATATTCAACAATCATTTGACATGGTTGTTAGAGCTAGAAAGGCACAGCTAACAATCAGCATAGGGTTCAAATCGAAATTTTGAATGAAATGGTTTTCTCTCACTGGCAAACAGCCAGAAGGTTAAATGTGTCCAAGCAGGGAGTGACCTGCTGTTTACAGAGGAAAAAGCTTCATGGGGAGTAACATTGACCGGAAGCAGTCTGAGACATGAGAAGTGACATCAAAGGCTGAAAATCAACACTCAGTGGTGACATGCAAAACAAATTGATGACTGTAATGGTCAGAGGGCTGCGATTAATGTGAACCAGTATCTCTCAATACAGTCAAGCAAAGACAGAGCAGCTGGACTGCATGGTCGAGTAGCTGCCAGAAAACCTTCACTTCATGGTGTTAAGTAAAAGACACTACAGGCTAAACAACACTAACACTGGAGTATTCAGGGCGGGCAGCAGGTCTTGTGGATGGATGAAAGTCCACCTATAGGACGAGTTGGACCAACAAGTTTAAAATGAGCGTCTAGCAAATGAGACGGAGCTGTTTGCATGTTTGTAAAGGTGTGGGAGGGTTTGGGCACAAGCTATTTCCTGAAATTGCTGGAAGGGATGCAGTGAATCTGCCGCTGTGATAAAGGCAAGGGGTGCATATTTTGATGAACCTCATACTTAGGCACTCACATTCATTACAAAGCAGAGTACATTGTTACAGTGCACTTCAGAACCAGCCAGTTACGTTTAAGTATTTCTAATATTTTCTTGTAATAAGTTTTTAAAAGCAGTGCATCGTTTATTGTTTTTAAATCCAAGGGTAGCTAATATGCTCCCTAACCTCGTGATGTTAAATCAACTGTGCAGCACATAGATTGTCCTTCATGGACCATAAGGCTGGTTTTAAAATATTCTTTTAGTTCATAACTCTATATACATACATTATTGATAGTTAATACATTATTGGCTGCTACAGTCATTTGCCTTAAATCATTGGTTAAATTAAATACACACCCTCCTGAACCCTCTAAGCCAGGGGTCACCAACATGGTGCCCACGGGCACCAGGATGCCCCCAAGGACCACATGAGTTGCCTGCGGACCTGTTCTAAAAATAGCACAACTCCCCAGTGAGCAGCATCTAAAATTGAATTTAATCCTGTTGCTATTCTTCTTTAATCACATTTGCATTCATATAGATTTGAAATTGACAATACCTAAAAAAAAAAAAAAGCATTCAAAACATGTTTATTATACATGATGTTTAGTTTAGGAGGGCGTTTCAAACTGGTAGCCCTTTGAATGGCTCAGTACCCGTGAAGTAGCTCTCATTTTCAAAAGGGTCTGTTTCACAAAGCAGGATTTCTTGCTTAGCCAGATAACTTGCCAGATTTAAGGTAGTCTGGGCTAATTAGACCTTATTTTCATCAACTTACATTTAGCCCAGACTACCTTAAATCTGGCAAGTTATCTGGCTAAGCAAGTAATCCTGCTTTGTGAAACAGGCCCCTGGTCTAAACTAACTTTACCCTGTTGTTTAACAATGGTAGGCTGAGGAAATTGCATCTAACACATGTTAAACAGCGCTTCTTGCTGAGTATGCAAAAATAAAATCTAAAGTAGGGCAAAAGGGTGTTTTTATGCATCCTTTAACTTCGGTGATTTGTCTTCCCTGGATCCTATTGCAATCTTCAGTCTTCAGAATTAATAATATTTAAATTGGTATCAGATGCAATATTTGGCATCTGGACGCACAATGACATGCATCTTGCATGTTTAGGTTGCCACATTAATGCACGATTCGATTTTGCATAATGTTGATGGACATCTACTTATCCATTGAATCTCTTATAACCGCTTGTTCTGGAAACTATACGTCTATAACATGCTTACATGCGCCTTAGGACACAAATGTTAGTGCTTGCTTATCCACGGAAATCTTGCTGTACAATATCTCTGGGCATGTTTAGTGGTACTGGTATCATCTCCACAGGAGATCGAGTCATCGACGAGCTACGCCTTTGCAAAGCTGCTGCAACTCCTCATCACTCATTACAAAGCTTGCAGGTTCTCGACAACAGAAGTGCGTTATTTTCGTCTAAAATTCCAGGCGCGATCAAATATTTAATGCGTGTAGAATTATGAATTAGATCATATCTCATCAAACGAGAGATTCCTGAGTATGACAAACCATTCGGTACCTGTTTCTGGATGCGAAGTCGGACATAGCGGCAAAACTATCATCGCCTCAATCTATATCTTGATGTGCTTGTTAGGGAGCACTTTAAATGTACTGGTCATTTACCTGGTAGTGTCTTTCAAAAAACTTAGGACCACCAGCAATGCCTTCATAGTGAACGGCTCCGTGGCCGACCTCCTGGTGTGTGCGATTTGGATTCCTCATGAGGTGATGCTGATCTCCACGGGATCTGCTCTCGCGCCGGAGATCCATGCTCTTTCGGAGGCTCTCCTGTTCCTCGGCATCACCGTTTCTCTCTTATCCCACTCTCTCATCGCCGCAAACCGATATGTTTTGATTACCAAAGCACCTGCAACATATGTGTCGCTCTACCAGAAAAGAAATGCTGAATCCATGATAATCGCTTCCTGGCTCCTAGCGCTGGGATGTCTGTTGCCTTGGCTGGTATCTTCTAGGCACGCACAGGAAGGATGCTCAGATCTACAAGTTGGGAAAGCTTTCTTTGGCAGAAAAACGTCCGTTATGTCAAACCCTAATGAAGACGTTATATTGGCTCTGACTATTTTTGCACAGTCTGCAATCGTCCTGTACTGCTATTTCAAAATATTCCGTAGGGTCCAGATCAGCATGAAGAGGGTTAGTATATTAAATTTCCAAATACTTAAAAACCTGCCTTACTCCTTCCCAAGGAAGGACAGACGCCTGGGCTTTTACGTCTTGACAGTGTGCGGCATCTTTCTGATCACCACCCAGCCGCTGCTCTGGGTTTTGGTTGTAGGGCGTTTGAAGCCGGTTCCCTTTGCCCATCGATCGACGTCTTGGATGCTCTTCTGCTGTCTCTTCGTGCTGAACCCCTTCCTATACACCTGGAAAAACGAGGAGTTCAGAAGATCCTTTAAATCCGTGCTGAGGGGAGAGATTTGCAGAGGGTCAGCAGTGGGACTTGCGCCCGTTACCGTCAACACCGTCGCTCACATTCTTCCCCGACAGAACAGCAGAAGAGCGTTTATTGGGCACATGGAGTAAACCTGCACTACCAGAACGCATAAAAGACGCTTTTTGAAACACGCTTTCCTGATTAGGATATAACTTGTTTTGATCGTTTATCGGGGAAATCGGCCAAACCTCCACTATACAACGATGCTTTTCTAACAATGATTTCTTCTTTAAGATAAAAATTTTGCAGCGAGGCTGAAGTAAACATTTCCTTGCTAATATCATGTAATACGTTTTGGGACAGTATCTTAATTTCTACGTAAAGCATTGCCGTTTGCTTTTGTAAGTAACCCCTTAACTGCTGTGGGATCTTGGTTTATATTCATGCGATCTATTTTTGTATTTGTCATTATAATTATGTTTTCGTCATTATGATTGCCTATACATTTTCTGTTGCATGTAGTGTACTCGGAAGCCTTAAATAGACCACATTAGTTTTCAGTGGGCTGATTCGTCCACCCCCACCCCTCATCTGTAGTTCTAGCAAAGAAAAGCAACTTATCTTACGTGGTTGCCATAGCAGCTGAGGGCCCATAACAGCGAATATCTATGAATTTGTTAATAAAGGAATAAAGACATCATCTTTGAACATGCTCTAGGCTTTACTCTTTGTCTTTTTCATAGACCTGATGCTAATACTTAATTTGGCTTTATTTTATGGCAGCTGCAATTTCCACTAATTTTTCCTTATTTTACAAATGTTACCCCATAACTCATCATTCTGGGATTTTAATAGTTTTGTCGCTGCTCAGAAATCAGTGCCCAGGATTAATATATAATTTCAGAAATCAAGCTCATTTTAAAAAGTAGGCTATTCCTCCTTTTGTAGTAACTTTAGCTATGCATTAAGAGTGCGGTCAGTCAGGGTCAGTTTCTATGATAATTGAATGTATGTTTTAAACAAAGGTCATCAGTAGAATCCTTAACCCAAGAAACCGTAACAATGATGATGTCGTATAATGTTCCTAATCCAGCGCTTGATTTGTAGAGTCGAAATGATGTTCCACTGAAAGTGCGAGAAAAATAAATTTCACAAATCAAAACTTACAAGGGGCTTGAGTTCATCAGCTGGGGCCTATATCATGCATTGGAGTTTATAGGAGGTCGGTACCTGACGCACATTACCTTGGAATTAGATGCTCATTGTCTCCTTTTCATTTCCTTTCCCCCCTAAACAGATATGGATGGATCAGCTATGATACTTAGAAACTTTCTTGTAAATTTAAATTTTAATATTCCTAATGCTCTTAGAAGTACCCAATTTGATAATGACTTGATTTATTGTAATTGATCTCAATTCCCCTAAAGATCATACTCCGCATTAAACTGAAACTGATTTGTTTAGAACAATACATCATGCGTCCGTGTTTGCATATACAGATATCTTGAGATTTTATTTATTTTAAATAGCCAGACGATTTTTGTTCTTAATTTTCATTGGTATCTCTTAAAACGGTGTGTACTGCAGATAATCTTGACCCAAAAAAACACTTTCCCGCGGGTTTTACACAAATAATGTTATCCTCCACTATTTCAAAATAAACATTTTTTTTAACTTCATCCAAAACCAGTTTCACTCCAGATAAGGCATGCAGAGCTACACGGGACTTTCCCGAATATGGGCGTTAATAATGGCGAGTGACATTTGGATATTGTACATTGATTTGTTGCATTACGCCACATTAGGCATTTTCAAAGGAACCCCCGAATTTGGTATTTCTAAATAATTAAATCGGGCAGCTGTGTTTTCATTATGACACACCATCTTGCACTTTTGCTTCTGTGCTTTTATTCCTTTTCACATGAATTTCCTTTAAGGAAGTATACCCTACCTAAAACCCATTGTGTGACTCTCATTGTTTACTGCTATTTCATCTTGCTATTTTAGTAGGCCTGTGTTAAATTTTAAATGCAGACGGAAAAAGCTGTATTTCTGAGTCCAGACATTGTTTGGCACTACGGTTTAAATCACTCAAACACGCAGTTACAGAACTCAATGAATTTAGTAATGATTCATAAAATAGAAATGGAATAATATTTTATGCATTACTGTTATGCAGTGATACAAAACTAGAAACACAGGCAGATGACAAGTTTTACCCTTAGTAATGCATTTGATCTGTTCCCCTGTTCCACATAATAATAGGCTTACATGTTTTCCGTTGGTGAAAATGAACCACAGAGCTTGACCGTAATTTTAATTTTACTTTGTTCTCATTTCGCCAGTGTGGAAATGAGTTTTGTAGTAAGCCTACTACGCTCACTGAGGTCTGTCCTCTGTCTAATAATGGTGACTGATGTTGATGACATATCCAGATAGACTGTTTTCTATCGCTGTTCATCCAACACCCACAAAACGCATCATACAGTGGTACCTCAGTTCTCGAACTCATTAGAACTCGAATTTCTTAAAAGTCGAACCAACCAGGTCGAAAAATAATTACCTAGAGCTCGATCTGAATCTCGCAAGTCAAACCGTGAACGCCGACCTAAGAGAACTTGTACGCCCGGGGAAATAAATCACGCCGCACGTCTCTCAGCGGAAACAAAGGGTAAAGCTTCAGTCTCAGCCTGGCATTCGCTGCAATGGCATCGTGCATGTTTACACTAGCTGAATACATATATTTAGACAATGATAGACAGTAACAGTAATTATTATTATTATATAATAAAAAACATTTAAAATGTTCTTATTAATTATTTTAATATTAATAATAAACCATTAATACATTTAACTATAATAATATTGTCCTGTCGAGTGGGGATGGAACGGAGACAAAGGCGCAGATGTCAGGGTATCGGGGAATACGGGGTTTAATTACAGGTAAGTCAGGCAAAATGCATACTCACAATACAATGACCGGACTAGGGAAACAAACTGAAACGCGGAGGAAATACAGCTAGAGGACTAATGACAACAACCAGAAACAGCTGATCACACTGGGATTCCACACGGGGATTCCACACGGGGTTAACGAGGGGGGCGTGGCACACGGAAGGAGCGGAAGATTGGGGCAGGACACATTGTTTTACACATTGTTTGGATACATTTATTTTCTTACTTTACAAATCACTGTTTTGATAAATGTGCTTAGATATATTTAGTACAGTATATGCTCTTCTTGTTTTATCAGGTTCATTTTGTGTTTAAATACTAAAAAAACATATTTAGGTGTAATTTTTGGGGGCTGGGAACCAATTAATTGGTTTTCCATTATTTCTTATGGGGAAAATTCGATCAGAACTCGAACTTTTTAGGATTCGATCCGGAGTTCTGAACGGATTAAGTTCGAGTTCTGAGGTACCACTGTACTTACGTTATGTTTTAACGCGCCTATCTGATGCACACATAACCTATTATTGTCCCGTATCGTGACGTCTAGTATGGTCTCCGATACCTGTCATCTCCGCTCCGCCATCAGAACCCGATATAATTAAACTAAAAATAAATCAGAGTTAAACTTTGTAATAAATGCAAATTGAAATAAAGAAATTAATATTTATAAAATCGTTTCCGTGGTATGATTTCTTGACACGCAGCCGCCTAAATTAGTTTGTTTCGCTTATCTGACTTCTGATTTGAAAGGGAAAACCCGAACCAAATAGATGAGGTCACACGCCAGGTTGTTAGAACAGAATGTTTGAGGCAGCGTGTGGCTCAGTGGGCTAAGCCTATGTACTTGTAATCACAAGGTCGTCGGTTCAAATCCCGCCTCAGCACGTCTGTGGCTCCTTGAGCAAGGCCCTTAACCCCCAGCTTCCTGGGCGCCCCAACAGGTGGCTGCCTTTCGCGGACAATTTACTCTTCAACAGCAAGTTGAGGGAGCCGTAAAAACGTTAAAGTATCAATTAAAATAATAGGACAAGAAATTACAGAACATCGAATGCAAAGCAACAGAGCCATCAGTAAGCGTTTAATGATTGCTAGGGGTAGAAAAACTACATCTCGCTTACCCTATGTGTTAACGTGCGTAGGCTATCTGATGAACACATAACCTATTATTTTGTCGATCAATAAGGTATCAACAATCGGCTTATGCACAGGTCCTTAGTGCCTGCGCAGAACATGCGCAATGCTGATCTTGCCAATTAATTGTAAGAAATGTGTAACACAGGTGAAAAGTTTTATGTAACTAACAGATGTCGATAGAAAATATTGCATTGTTACATGCTTAATTAATTAATAGCGCATTAGAGACCTAGTGTGTATGACCTCGTGGTCTTCATGAGCTCCGGCACTTCAGAGTTTATAAAGTAAGCACTACCTATAGGGAACCAACAAACCGCTTATGCAAATGTGCCAGCATAAAACCTAGACATTTAGACTCAGGTATCGGCGGGGGGGCGGCACTGCCCCCCCTCCAGATTCCACCGCGATGGTAACCCAGGAGCCTATACTATAAATGGCTGAACTAGATAGAGGGATACACTTAGGGAAGCACGCCCATTCATCACAGGGTGCACAGGTCACCTAAGTATATATTTTTGTGGACTGCAGGAGGATATCAGAGTACTAGGAGGAAAGTCACATGACTAAAGGGAAAACATTCAAATTCCACATACAGTTCTCAGGGCAGGAAGTGAACCAACAGCCCTGTATGAATGAGGCAACAGATCCATCCAATAACTATCATCACATAGCCATAGATTGGGTCAAGAGTGTTGGAGTAAAATTGATTGCAAATAAAACAGACGCTGTAATAACCCTCCCATGAATATGTATAGAAACTGCAGGTCAGTGGAATAGAATGACCCAATGTCATATCTCTGGAACCCCCTTGAGATAATGCATGCTCTGCAACATGGCATGTTAAGCTGCTGGAAGTATCGCGTGAAAAAGGCTTGAGTGTAGCCATGATCTGAAGCCCCTGGTCAGCCAGCAGTTCTTAGGTATGTCCAGTGTTGCTTAGCGATGCTGAATTGGTATTAAGGGGAGTATTCATTGCTAAGATAACATCCCCCCCCCAACACTGTTAAACCACCAGCAGCCTGTCCACTGACCAGGGGCAGTGGAGGGGTCTTACAGCGGGCAAGGGGGGGTGGGCTTGGTAAATTTGCTGGCCCAGGGAGGGGGGTGCTTTTGGTAAGTTCTGAAATTTGCGTGATTGTAATCAGAGGGGAAATTTGTAAAATTTGCTGGGGGGGTGGGCAGCCCAGGGACGCTTCTGCACCCCCCCCCCCCACCTCCTCTGCTACTGCCACTGACCCAAGGATCCATGATATTTTTGCCAAATGCTGGTTCTACCATCGGCATGTTACAACAGAAATGAGGATCATCAGACCAGTCACATGTCTCCTCTGTTTGCCATCCAGTTTTGGTAAGTATGTGCCCACTGTCACCATAATCTTAGCTAACGGGAATAATGATGCCTGGATCTACTTAAATGTTTGCACATTATGAGATAACCTTCGGCACACCAATGCTATACTGGACTGTTTTTACACGTCCTGTTAGTTCTACTGAATCTGGCCATTTCTTGTAACCTCTCTCATCAGCAAGGTGTTTTGGCCAGATAAATGACCCTGACTATGTGTTTTTCTACATCACATCATTCACAGGAAATTTTAGACAATATAGTGTGTGAAAATTCCAGGAGGGAGACTTTCTGAAACACTGGGAGCTTCGTTTTGGCACCAGTGACCATTTGTTATGCTTAAATCACGGTCTTGCACATTGGAAAGCTGAACCAAACAGAAACTGAAACTCTTAGACCATCTACACATACTTAGAAAATACGTTTCAATAATGTTTGTCATACTTAGAAATATATCTTAATTTTGAACGTTATGTTCAGACAGAAGGGGGCGCACTTCTCTACTTCTGTCGCGTCGCATTGAGCTGGGCTGCCGAACTGCAGGGGGCTTGTTGTGTGACATTTTTGGGTTTTTTTCGGGGGAGTGTATCTTTTTTTTGGCAGTGAAATTCCCTCTAATCCGCTATAAAAACTGGTCTGTGACCAAGAGCAGAGCATTACAGCTCGGAACGAGACACTGAAAATAACTTCTATCTTTTTCCTTTCCACTTTCATATAGGCTAGTGATATTTCAAAAATATTAACATCTTTAAAATGTCGACTTTCATGTTCATTTGGATGTTCATATTACCTTCAGCAGGTAAGAGACATATAAACATATAAACGTATTATAACGCGTTTGTCCATGGAGTGCAAACTTGACGTATTGTTTCTGCTTTCAAAAGCATGTAATTCCAGAAGATTTACTATTTTTTTGTTTTTTTTTCTTCTTAGACCTTTTCTCCGTAACATTGAGTCCACGTGATCCAGTGTGGAGAGTGGGGGACACGCATGTGATGCAATGCACGGCGGTGGACTGTCCCCACGGAGCCCATATCGTGTTCAGCCGCCCGGGTGATGAACTCCTGTTCGCTGAAACGCAGCGATTTGCAAACCGATCTCTTATCCGTTTTGCTCCTGTCGAACATCGGCACAACTACGAAATTGTTTGCAAAGTCACTTGCGATGGGCTAAAAACTAAACAAAGCACAACAACAATAACTATATACTGTAAGTAATAATTATACGCTTCATTTATTGAAATGAATATCAAATTTGTTAAAAAAAAATAATAATAATTAGAAAGATTAAACTTATATTTGCGGGTCCAGTGTCAGCTTAATTTCCTTCCAAAATTATCCAAATTTTTTTTGCACAGTTTAACATTAAACATTATTCCTTTTTTCAGCTTTTCCAAATGATCCCGTCATATCTGGGACTACGAATTTAAGGGCGAATGAAACGCGGGACCTGAGCTGTAATGTGTACAATGTCTCTGCGAAGGACTATGTAAGGATTGAGTGGACTTTGGGGGATACGCTAGTTCATGAAGCCGAGAAGGATACAGCGACACGTACTGCTTCCTCCACATACACTATCACGCCAATAGTTAAGGATAACGGGAAAAAGATCACATGCAGGGCAACTCTGTTTGGGAAAGGAATACCCGAAGAACATCAAACCAGAGAAACCACGGAGATCGTCAACGTGCTGTGTAAGTGACTATGTTCATACACATGTAAAGTGAAGATCAAAATATTATGTAACAATGCTCAAAATGTAGACTAAGACTGACCTGCCAGTCGTAGGTTGGAATTTCAGTCATTCAGATTGTGATTTGCATTTTCTGCAGATGCACCCAGAGATGTTAGAATATCTAACCAAATGACAGTGGTCTTTGGGGAGAACTTCACCCTGACATGCGAGGCAGATGGGAACCCAAAGCCCCAGGTGCAATGGAGGATGCTGGACAGCAGTGTCCCCCTTGCCACTGAGCCGGGACAGCAGAAGTTTGTCATTGAGGGTGCCACGCTGTCCCATGCGGGTGAATATGAGTGTGTAGTGAGTAATTCAGTTGGAAGCAAGACTGCGAAAGTGGCTGTGATTGTCCAAGGTTAGTGGCTCAAATGGAATTTAATTATGAGGGGAATGTGGGATTATATAAGGGCTATAAGTAACATGAACAGATCCCCACTGTTTGTTTTTATAATTTGGGATGTTAAACAGATTTATTTCTCTCACAGGCCCACCCCGGAACATGTCGATCATGGTGAGCCCAGCCGGCCAGCTGAAGGAGGGAGACGTGGTGACAATCAGCTGCCTCTCAGACACTGTCCCGGCGGGCCGTATGGTCCTGCGTAGGGTGTCTGAAGACGGGACGACCGAGCTGAACTCCGCGTTCGGCTCCTCCACCTCCGTCACGTTGTCTCCTGCCGTCCTGGCCCACTCCGGCCGGTATGAGTGCGAAGCCAGCAACCAGTACGGCACAGAGACGTCAGCCACGGTGCACGTCAGCGTGAGAGGTAAGTCCCTTGCAGGAATTCCAGGTATTTTCCATTCATGAAGTCATGCGTCCTTTGTAAGCCAAAACACGAATTTCACTTCCGCTTCTTCATGAATTATACTCCTGTCTATTCAAAGTAATGTATCTTCTAGTACCTCTTTACTAAACTTGACATTTACGTACCTTTCACCTACATCAAGAAACCAACTGACTGTACTTCCCCCTTAAACTGCTGCATAAATGTTATCTAAACTTTCAGTGCCGCTGTAACCTTTGTCAAGGTGTGATCTATGCATAGCTCTGAATTTCTGATTACGGCTTAGTGTCTCATATCTCTCAATTCTTGTTCCCCATCCAGCCCCACCCAGAAACACCACAGTCGAGGTGTTCCCTTCGTCACAGGTTCACGAGGGCCAGAACATCACCATCTGCTGTAAGACCGTCAGCTTCCCGGCAGCACGTGTGACCCTCAGGAAACTGGGGGGTGACAGGGAGCTCTATTCTGCCAATGGTACCTTCATGCTGCAAAATGTCATGGCCACTGATGCAGGCTCATACCAGGTCAATGTCACCAACGACCTGGGCTACGAGACGGAAGTTTTCACCATTAATGTGATGGGTGAGTCAAGCAGCAAGGGCAGAGTGCCTTAGCTGCTGATCGGTAACCCAGCTCAGATATATAGGTTGTTGTTGTTGTATTTGTCACATTGATCCGATTTTGTCTTCTGTCACATGCAGAGAAACATACCAGCCCCACACCCGGATGGCACGAGCTGTTAATCCCCGCTATTGGGGTGATGTGTACACTGGTGACGGCAAGCCTGATCATCTACCATCTGCGGAAGTCCAGGTTGAACAACTCCTATGAGATGGCCAAGACCAGCCCTGGGCCTGTATAGTCCCAGACATCAGGAGGTTTTGTGGAACATGCATTGAACGTCAAACCTGCTGGGTGTCAGGAGAACAATGGCCTGCTGGGGGCACTTGTTGAACTTCTTCTTCACAGTTTGCACTTAAATAAAACTTCAGGATAACTGCATAGGGTGGCACAGTAACTCAGATGGTAACAATGCAGCCTCACGTGCCACTGGCTGGTTCCGTATGGGCTGTGCATGGTCTCCTTCTGCCTGTGCCTGTATCCTCTTGCTGTTCAAAAACATTCAATTAGGCCATTTGCTGTTCCTGTATTGCCCATAGTGTGACTATCTGCTGTACCTGCTGCTTCCTTTTATAGTCTTCAGGCTAACCATGATTCTGTACTGGATAAGCAGTTATGGAATATGGACAGAAGTGTGTTCAGGGCCGTTATGTGTAATGTATCTATGAGACACCTATTGGTCGTGAGGGGAACTGCAGGGTGACTGCGTCAGGCCTCCATTAGACCGAAACGGAACATGAGCAGAGGAATAAGCGAGAGATTCTACGTGTCTTCAGCTTTTACTGATCTGTAAGAATACAGGAATGGTGGAAGGATGTCATATGTAGGACAACACAGGGATACAAAATGTAATGATAAAGGGAGCATCCAGCGGTCAATATAAGCTAGAAATCCCTTAAAACTAATACTGGAATGACTTTGTTACTTGGGCTGACAGCCATGACTGAAGCCTATTAACAGGTGGCCCTTAGGTAGCTAGCTGGTAAGATCTCGATCATTCAAGGAATCCTACCTGTACAGCAGCTGATGAGCATGGAAACAACGAATTTCCTTTCCTGCTCAAGTCATAATGGCAGCAGAGTGGTGACCTTTTTAATGGGGTATTACAGACCACGCTGTTTGATTTGTTACATGTCTTACACCAGAACATATCTAACCTGATCTGTTGAACTAATGCAGAATTTATTATTATTATTGTTATTATTATTATTATTATTATTAAATGATCAACTGCTAGTGACCAGAAGGTTGCCAGCTCAAATCCCAGGATCAGCAGGCTGGTATGTTTCACTGCTGGACCCTAAAGCACAGCCCCCAGTTACTCCAGCGACTGCTAAACTGCTAAAGTCAAATGTGAACGTAAATGTGTGTGAGGATTTTATTGAAATGGGCTGATCTGTTTTGTAGCATCTGTTTTGTTCTTTTTAAGGTGACTTACACAAATACATCGATACCTGTGACACGTTCTGTGTTTTCTGTGCTTTTGTGCTGTATTGTCGTCATTCGTACCTGTTGGTACAGAGAGTCATTATAATTTTTTACCATCAGTTTCAGATGCAGGAGGATATTTTGAACTGGGGGGAAAAATAGATTAGATTACAGATGAAAAATTAGGTTATTTCCGATGGGATGAAGAGGGGAAGTTCTTTTGCTTTTCTACGTGACTCACTTATTGTTCCCAGATGAACTTTCACTTTCTGTTATAGCCTGTATGTATCCTGCGTTTCTCATGGAAATTCAACGCACCACCACTTTGTATTTAAATGTCAGCAGTGGTCCCGTGTGGAGAGCAAAATGTCAGAAATGTTGGCCCCTTGATCAGGGGCAGATCCAGGGGGCAGCTAGAGGTGGCCATGGCTGCCCCAAGCAAATGCACGGCCACCTCTGTTGCCACCCAACATCAAATAATAAAAAGGAAATATGGATTTTTATTTACTAAGAGGGACCACAGAATAGACAGGGTAGGGCGCTCCCCTCCCATAAAAATTACTCGTCCCCGATGGCCGCCCCAATTGAAATTTTTGGTAGGGACCACTGCCCTCCGTATCAGCATTAGCATCTGGGTCAGGCGTAGCGCCATGGAAAACAGAACCACGTGACTTGAGGCTTTTAAGCGGTTTTATTTTAGACTCCAATTTTCCATGTGGGGAGGGGATTCACCGGCCTTTCAGAAGAATGGACATCGACACACACTCAACAGGCAAAGCTTCATATCGTGAGCAGCTCTTCTCACCTTAATCTCTGCTCTTGCCCGACTTACCGCCGAAACAGAAAACAGAGCCACGCTGGTCGCCATCAAATCAGAGAGCGAGCAATAGAAAGCAAACCCGCACTGTAATCTAGCACCATTTATATATATTGGACTCAGGCAAGCTGTCATTTTCTGCTTAATAGAATAATTTGTGTTTCAGGAATATTATGTTTTAGCCAGAGAGCATGTTTTACAGAACCTACAATGCCATTGAAAAGCATGAGTACACTTGCTTGAAATTAAAATTTTTCATAATAATAGTATATAATATTTTCCTGTAAATACATGAAAATACAAAATAAGCAATATACAAAACATATATGGTTTTCAGTAGGTTTATTACTCCAGCTATTGGCTAGTACACTCTGATGAGCAGTAATTTTGGTGCTTAAAAATCCTGCATGGAAACATTTTTACACAAAAGCAGTAGAACACTATGCACTCTCAGAAAAAAAGGGTACCAGTTTGTACCTTTATTTGTCCTTTTAAGGTACAGAAATTGACTCCCTAAGGTACAAATTACATTAATGTATCCTCAATGGTACAAAAATGTTCCTCAGAGCCATATTACCTACAGCTAAGGGTACAATCAGCAGACCTTTGAAGGTACAGGTCCAATGACAGAAAAGGTATTGGAGAAATTGGTCCTCTTTTTTTCTGAGAGTGTAGGAGTTCTGGACAATGTCAGCCTACTGATGGAAAAAACACTGTCCATAAATTTACAAAATGTTCGTTTTAAGATGCTCCAGCAGCTAACTTCTAGGAAATAATCCTGCCCATATTTGCTGACATGTAGGAGTGCACAGCTTCTGAAGCGGCAAGGAGTTTTATCGGAAAGCGTCGCTTTGAGTGTTTCATGTGGGCTATTCCTGCATTGCACATTCTGCCCTGGCTTTTAAAATAGACTGCTGTCATGGCAACTGTGGAGCTTCAGCACTATGGCAGAAGGATACAATGCTTTTTGGAGAACGAATCGGAGAAGAGAGAGTATTGGAGAGCAGTGAACACAGCCCATCTGGATAGATAGAGGAAGTCTTTGGTAATATTGCTGTCTACCTTTTGTTCCCTGCTTTGTAAGCCATTAAGGGTGACATACTGTAAGTAATATTATCATCAACAACTTATAAGCTATAACTCACTGAGTATGTTGTAAATCTGCTACTACATGTTTTTTTTAATATAGCTCATTTGTAAGTTGGAACTCTGCTGACACCAGCTAATGGTCTCCCCCTCGCATCACCGTCAGTGTGAACAAGATGATCTTCATTACAATAGTGCAACTGAGTTTCTAAGGACCAAAACAGAGTATGATCCTGCCTCAGAGATCAAAAGGAGACTGACCATGCATATCTTTTATTTAGTACCTATAAATGTTTTTATGGAATATCTTAGAGGTGGCCGATGGAAGGTTCATGATTTGTTTCAGAGTAATCCTTGCCATGGTTTTGCTATACAGTAGATTCAGCAGATAATGGTTGTAATAATTAGCCAGTAGCAAGCTGTAGCTAATCAGCATTTTCTGCTACAGATCGAATTGAGTTTACTCAGTCCTCCAGCTGGGGCAGCCTTTGAGAGTGTGGGGCAGCATTAATGTAGCGCAGTGTTTCCCAATCCGGTCCTCAGAGACCCACAGCCGATCCACGTTTTTGCTCCCTCCCAGCTCCCTGCTGGAGATCTTTTCAGTTACATCCTTTTTGTATACCCTAATGTGAACTTGGAGTAACAGTCAAGTTGTTAAAAGGTTAAGCCTTGTGGCCTCTGGCATTCTGTGACTTAGAAATAGGTTGTACTGTTGATCTGTATGGGATGTAAAGAAACAACAGCCATATGGTTACTATTTGAGACAATAGTCATTTATATTAAATGTCTTTCTACAATAAATTGAAGACATAACTGTTTTAACCCCACTGTTTGACCTGTCCTGATCTCAATCCTGACAGTAAGGTCCTTTTACATAACAGAGCCTGAGAAAGGTCCATCTTCCCCTTAGACCTTGTGAGGTTTGCGAAATATATCTTTGGAACTGTTCCATAGTCTCTCCATCACCTCCCCGAGCCCCTCACATCCAAAACCGCCTTCGCTGCAGATCTTCCGGCCTGCCGGCACCTATCAGCTGACTCAGGAGACAGCTTTCCTCGCTGCCGGTGCCCCCGGCCTAAGGGACGCCGTGTCACTTGAGGCCTCAGACGTGGTACATTCGCTGTCAGTGACCCAGCCCTCAGTCAGCAGCGGAAATTATTCCAGACGCGCGAGCAGAATTATCCTCACAGGGAAACTTCAGCCTGACTCCTTGTTGGCGTCTCTCTGACCCATCCTGCTAAATCCAACTGGCCAGTGAGTGGTGATCTCTTGTTAGCCCTGCTTCCCTTCACGTCAGAATACCTAAAACACACAGCCTGGTGTCCTATAAGTCACACTCCTCATAAGGTAGCAGTACTTGTGGATCTGTAGGAGGCTGTAAGGAAACATGGACCACATAGCTACTATATTAGACACAATCAATCATTTAAAAAGGTTTTTCTACATGACGACATGACTGTTCTAACCCTCAGTTTCCAGCTACATTGTATTATGTAAGACGAGAACACAGCAGGATGTCCTCTCCTCAAGAAAGATCAACAATGCTGAACCTGAGGCAACAGCTCTTAAGAGAACTTTGCTGAGATTTGCAAGATGAAGATGTTTATGGTTCAGACAAATTCAAGCTGTTTTCTGTTCATTGTTCACCAACCTAAAGCACATCCGTTTGCTCGCCGCATTTCAAGTACAGTAAAATCCCGTTATAGTGGACTTGCTTATAACAGGATATCGTCTATAACGGACGAGGTCCGCTGGTCCCGGCCGTGCGCCTTTACGAACATGCAGAAAAAGCATCGGATATATCGGACTCGCATATAACGGAATTTTGTGTCCCCAGGGCCGCCTTTAGCTGTAGTTTTGTTCGGCTATAATGGCCATGCAGGCTCCGCCTACAAGGCGCGTGGCGTACCGGTGATATCCAGCGCAGATACGTAGTCGGGATTATCAGTAGTCACGCTGTATAAATAGGCTTGGCGTAACAGCAGGCAACACTGATTGGTCTGTGTGGCTGTTCATCACCAGGCACGCTGGGTGGAGCCCTGAACGGCACGTGGGCATACAGCAACTCTGGATATAACGGACTTTGGATATAATGGACTGTTTTGCCAGGTCACTTGAAGTTCGTTATAACGGGGATTTTACTGTATTCTGTCATTCTAGTGCTAAAGCGGCATCCCAGGTTATATGTATGCTGTGTCTATACACAGAGAGAGCTGATCCTTTATGTACTCCAACTCGGATGGAGAAAGGCGGCGAGGTTCTATTTAGATATCGGACGCTAGTGACGTTCATACAGGATTAGGATCCCCTGCACGGTGGCTTCAGGCCCACTGTGGACTGGAAGGGCACACTGTATGAGGATGTGGAGGACCATGTCGAGGAAGGTCGTATGTCACACCTTTTTCTTCTCTCTGCACTTTTCCATCAGCAGGCCAGCAGCATGTTCTTGTTCCACATCCCTTAGTGAATCCATTGATTCGGAGTGACTCTAACAATTTGGTGAAGGCAGTGATCGATCACTCGTTCATAGATATTTATCATGTGACATAAAAGGCAGATGGATCAGTTGTTGGCACATTTGCTGGCATGGACTTTGCCCTTCCAGATCAGGATCGTGATGCTGGCTGCCCAGTCTCGAGCCGTCGACGACCATTTTGGTTGAACGGTGTTGCAAGGATGTTGGCGCCACATCATCTGAGTTCAGTTCAATTCGGTTTTATTTGTATAGCGTGTTTTTACAACATTACATTGTCTCAAAGCGCTTTACAGCATCCCTGCCCTAACCCCCCAGTGAACAATTCAGAGGCAACAGTGGCAAGATAAAACTCTAATAGAAGGAAAAAATCTTGGGAGGAACCGGACTCAAAGGGGGAGCCCATCCTCCAGTGGTCGGCAGAGGAAGTCTAATGAACAAGATGGCGACTGTCCCAATTTTAACATTTCAGTCTCAAAGCGCGAGGCAGGCAGGTGACAGCAGGCAGTAGCTGGTGCTGCTTCAGATGGCAGGATGAACAGTAGCAGGGGATAAAGGGAAGACTTCACTGGCGAGCAGGGCGGAAAGACGCCACAGGTAGTGGAGACGTCGCAGGCAGCAGAGTAGGCAGGATATCTTGATCTTTTGGGTCTCCACGC